GTGGGCAAGTATTGAGAAGTCCAAAGTCTTTTTTTTTTTTTTTTTTTTTTTGAGAGAAGTAAAGAAAAATTAAAAATGGAAAAGAAATATTTCAATAATAATATTTTACATCATCAAATAGTAAAGGCATAGTTTTTAAAAATAGTAATGGTAAATTAAAAATGGAACGAAAATATTTCATTAATAATATTCTACATCTTCAAATTAAAATGGAACTGAAATTAGGTAAAAATATCACTGCATTTATATTCTAATTGACTAATTGACTTAAAAAAAAAAAGAATAATAATTGACTGAAAATGAATCTAATATTACTAATTGACTGAAAATATAAAAGGAAATGAATATTGATAATTGATTGCACATTTAAAAAAATGATTCATAACTGACTAAAATTAAAAAAAAAATTGTCATATCATTGCATTTTAATTAAAAATGGAATGGAAATTAAAAATTAGAGAAACATATTTCAATAATAATATTCTACATTATCAATAGTAAATGCATATTTTAAACAATAGTAAAGGTAATTTAAAATGGAACATAAATATTTCAATGATAATATCTCATCATCAAATAAAAATGGAATGAAAATTAGGTAAAAATATCAATGCATTTGATATTCTAATTGACTAATTCACTGGGAAAAAAAAATTGTTTGAATCTAATATTACTAATTGACTAAAAATATAAAAGGATAACTAATTGAGTGATATTCTACCATTATATATTTTCACCCAAGTAACCCGTCTTGATGGAGTGAAGGTGTTAGCTCTAGACGAAGATGAACAAGATTGTATTGCCACTACCAATGTCGTCTACAAAAAGGTTTCAATAATGTCTAAATATAATCAGTGATATTATGTTTTTTTTTTAAATGAAAAAATTGTTATATATCTAGACAAAAATATATATACCTTCCATACAAATGAATAATGATAGCAATTCATTTCTATAACTGAGTTGTTAGAGAACGAGCACATTTGTCTAATTTATGAAAATACTAAACAATGATAAATAAAATCTTCAAAGTTATAGCACCGCATGCGTACATCTAGATATTAGCTATTCATTTGAGCAATTATTTGCACAAATTCAAGCAATGATAACATCAAAATCAAAATATATAAACGATCCAAACTATATCTTTAATTGTACTATATAATATTTGATGTTCTAATTTAAATAATTATATATCTCTTAATATATTCTCAATATATTACAACAAACCTATTTCGTACATCGCACGTGTGCAAATACTAGTTAGTGAAAAAGCAAAATGACCTCTAGCTATTCCCATACATGCAATGGGTGGGGTTTCAATCCTAGGTGACATATGCCACCTAAAAAGGGAAAATATTATATGTGTTTTCAATTTTCTTCTACATACAAAATTTTGATGTAAACATTTGTATTGGGATCAATATGAAAAAGTAGTTTATCAAGTATCCTCTATATCAAAGAGTAAAATTTATAGAGCAGGATTCGAAAGAATGTAGAAATATTACCATTTTCGTTTTTTTTTTTCCCTTAATCATTTGACATTTGCAATCTTTCAATTTTTTTTGAAAGATTATAAATGTGTTATCATGGGATCCACTTTGTAAATATATTATTATTTATATTATATTTCAAAATTAATTATTATTTAATTATTTTAAAATTCATATTTTGTTTGAAATTTATATTTTTTAAAAATAATTTTGAGTAATTTAATATTTTATTTTTGTTATTTTTATTAATTAAAGAAAATATTTTTTTTTTGTGTGATAGGATGGGAGAGTGAAACCAATTTTTAAAATGAGTTTGAATTGTAAGGATGTAGAGTAAATAATGTTTAATTACAAATATGGTGAAATAACAATGATAATTTATTTCTAAATGCGAGAGAGTATTTCATGGACATAAATAGGCATTAGCAAAAATGTCAGAAATTAAAGGAATCAGTATTAAAAGAAGATGATGCATCAGTGGCGAATTTATTTTTATAATAACATACAATTACAATTAATCCATTCATATATGGAGGATGAGGAAAAAAGTAAATGTGATAGGGTGAAAAGGAATATACTTAGTATTAAAGTATAATTGCACAAATATTAATATAATTGCCTAATAATTATTATGGTAATTAAGCCAAACATGGATCACTGGATTTATTTTTATAATAATTACAATTATATTAAATTGTTTCTCTTTTTTTTTCATATTTATTTTAATAATAATATAATTACATAAATCATATTACATATTGATTTTTTTAAAATAATTATAGACAAACGAGTCATATATTATTCAATTAATTGAGTGATACTTTTACATTAATTTTATAATCAAATTAATGCACATTTTTAAATATTATAATTATTTATAATTTCATTTTTAATTATATTATCTAAATCTATAATAAAAAAAAAATTTTATCCGCACGACTAATTTAATAGTCAATATTAAAAGAAGATGATGCATCATGCATGTGTGGCAGTAAAATAAAAGGGTATAATTGGAAAGCATTCCGGAGAAGACATACACAAAAGCCTTCCTCTACAACAATATATTCCTCCATTATAAAAGCCCTAGCTAGCTAGCACCCATTTAAAAGTATTTATGTACATATACAAATCACAATCTCATAGAATTTGATTCTGATGGTATAAATTGATCTGGATCACCCTACATCGAGAATATAGATAATATAAATATTAAATTATTTAAATAGAAAAATGAGACACAACATTTTACATAGATTATCTTACATTAACGTAAAATAAGACACAATAATTTAACGCAAAAAAAATAAATCGTAATTTTCAATTCTCAAGTTGAAAATGTATATGGCCAATTGTTTTATTATTATTATTATTATTATTATTATTATTATTATTATTATTATTATTATTATTGTTATTATTGTTATTATTGTTATTATTGTTATTATTGTTATTATTATTATTATTATTATTATTATTATTATTATTATTATTATTCACGTTCATACATTAATTCCATAAATTTTGTGATTGGATGCATTTAATATAATTTCTTGATTTGTGAATTTTTCTACAAACAGATTACATGTCAAGTCAAAGGATTAACCGGAAGTAACATGCAAATAGATTTTATATACTGTATGATTTTTTACTTCAAAATGATTCAAGTGTAGAAATGCTTTAATTCCATTTTACGAAAAAAAAAAAAAAAAGTCATTGAATGACAAGGGGAATTCGTAGTCACCACTTGAAAGGCGTGCACTGAATAAACTCTCTATTCCTGTGTAACAGTGCGCAGATAAGGTATTGATTAGAATCGAACTTGTAATTTTGAAGTACGAGAATCATGCTCTACTTATTTGGTCACTCTTTTTGGAGAAAAAAAATAAAATTAATTGATCCTGCACTTGTGATAATGTTATAAAAATTGACGAGTGAAATTTAAACGATGTCAAAATCATCCCAAAAATGTGAGGATGTTACCCTTTTCAAATACCTAAACTGAACATTTTGGTACAAAAATTAAATAAGAGGGGGTCAAGGGGGAAGCAATGAATGTGGCTTTGTTTACAAGTACCCATCACTACCCTATTCAATTGTATGGACTCATCTACCACATCTCACCCAATAAATCCACCTTAATATTTTATTGCTACCATTCATGGAAGTAACATGTTACACACTCCCCCCACCCCAATCTTAATATTAATAAATTATTAATATCATAAAATTTATACATATTATTATAAATTTTTTCATGCGAATTGCTAATATTAAATAACTAATTTTTACAATGTATCTCTCAGTATATAATTAGTATAATCTATTGGTCAAAATTATTACGTAACATAATTCGCTACACGCCAATTGTCAATATGACCAAATTGTTAAATTAAGGCTACGTTTAGAGTTTTTTGCACTTTTGGTCCCACGACTATAGTGATACTATCAGGATTGATTCGCGACTATAGTTCACGACTATTATTTTTGTTGCAAAAATGGTCCTTCAGGCCAATTTTCTGTCAAAATCTCACCGGATAAAAAATTTCTCATTTCAAGTAGAGATAAAATAGATATTTACATTGACCTTACAATCTCAGACCGCTATTGACCTCTTATTCAGACCAAAGTGAGAAAAAATCAAACCAAAAAAAAAAAATCATTTGCCAGAGACGAAAAATTGGGTTTGAAAATGGCAATTGATGTAGCCATTATGTTTTCCTTCAAAATAAAGAAGATGAAGATCGGCAATGGATGACGTGTTGAAGATGGCAATCAATGTTTTCCTCTTGTTCGCAGATGGGTTGATGAGATGAGAGCAGATTTGGGTTCGTCTTTGGCAATTAATTTTTTTTTTTTTGGTTTGATTTTTTCGCACTTTGGTCAGAATAAGAGATAAACAGCGGTCCGAAATTGCAAGGTCAATGTAATTGTCTATTTTATCCCTGCTTGAAATGAGGAATTTTTTCTCCGGTGAGATTTTAACGGAAAATTGGTTGGAATGACCATTTTTGCAACAAAAACAATAGTCATGGATTAAAATTGCAAGGCTTAAAAGTCGCGGATCAATCTTGATAGTGCCACTATAGTCATGAGACCAAAAGTGCAAAAAAACTCGCTACGTTTATTTTTTGGATGCTACTAACTCTATTACAATGTAGTATCTGTTTATAACTACTTTCTCAACCTACTGAAGCACCAAGAGCCAATAACGTCTGTGCACAAGGTGCTTGGCACTCGCTACGTTTATTTACTTTTTTTAACTTTTTAATTTTAAAAAATAGAGAATTTCTATAGGTAATAAATGCAAATGAAATGAAGATTCCAATTTATTTAATTTCCATTCTTTCCCCAAATTTTAAAATACTTTGTTATATTCTTTTTTTTTTTTTTTTTCAAAATTCCAAAATGTAAAATCCAGAAAAAAGATTTGGGGGAAAAGTAAAGAATTTATTTAAAAAATAAAATAAAATTCTTTCCCAATAAGGCCATTTCCTATTAATTCTATCTTCTTACCCTACCTATCTCCCTCTTTTCCTCTCTCTGCAAAACCAAAACCTCCTGAAAAGTGCAATGGCTTAAGACTATACTTTGCGGTAAGTACTACACATTCTTCTCCATGCAAAACAACAAAAGAAAACATTTTTGCCATACCCTTTCTTAACTTCACTCAAACTTTCCATTTTCAATGCTTTTGGGTATACTTCAAAGCTTTTTTGCTTTGTTCTCTTGTTGAATGCTGGGAAATTTTGGTGTAAAAAATGTTCATTAAAATCTGCTAAAATTCCCGCATTTCTTCGTCTGCTATAAAGCTTTGAAGCCATGGCTTCAATTTAATTTAGTTTATGTCTAAACTGTCGCATTTCTTAGCAGCCTAACAGAGCCGAAAGTTCTAATGTGTACTTCTGGCCTTCTGGGTGCTAAACTGCAAGGCAACGATACAAAACGGTGTCGTATTTTGTTTCAGGAAAAAGAAAATGAGAAACAACAACATAAACTTTCTACTTGTACCAGAAATAGTTAGACCCAGAATTTTTTTTTTTTTTTTAAATAATTTTATTCAATTTAATGACATTTTTTTTGGGTCTTGTATTTTGTTGTATTATGTGATAATAAGTAATAATAATGCAATTAGCATATATGAAGGAAGATTCTTTCTATACTAGGAATTTAAAGCATTGTGAAATATTTGGTATGATTTTGTTATGTGGGGGCTGGTGAATTAGCACATAATGATTCCACTTACCTTATGGTGAATATTTGGTGTGATTTTATATTACATTACATGTTATATATTGCATATATACCAAGATTTTGTGAGAAATGACCCAAATGATGTTACAGATGGATAATGTTTGCAATTTTGCATACTTAATGTGGTTGTGGTCAAAGCCGTTTTGATATGTTGTTTGTGTATGTGTGATGGTCTTATAGAGTTGGTTCTTTGTATTGTGTTTTTATTCCAGAAGATGAGTGTGGTTGAGGCTGGTTATTTGGACGGGATTGCGAACGGGGTGAATGGCTGTGACATTTTCCCGGACTTGCTCAACATTCTAGATTTCCCGGAGGAGAGTTTGGAAGGAGATGACTCTGTTGGCGATTGGGATGCTAGTATGTTGCAGTGCCTTGGGCCAGTCCCTTCCGATGCTTTGATGGGATTGTCCCCCGTGCACCAGGCCAATGTTGACGATGGCCCTTTGAGAATGGCGCTCAAGTCGAAGGCTTTTGTGAGTTTTGATTAATTCTTAGCCTCTTTATTTGTTTGTCACCCAATTTCCTCGTGCTTTCTTCGTTGTCTATGTTCTTCTTCTGGGTAATAGATATATCCTCTTTTTTTCATATAAAAGGAAATTTTTTGCATTAGGAGTACTAAACCATTCTCCAACTTAGAACCCAACAAAATCTTCTCGGAAGATAAGATATGTATGTTGTTGAGGGGAATAATAACCTTTGATCACTCAAAATCTAAAAAACAACAAGAAAAAGATGTATACATTTGCCCGTGAATAAAGAACAGAGAAAATTAGCAGTTTGTTTCTCAGGTTTTTAACATCATGATTTTAAATATTTTACTTGTAGTGCTTTCTTTCTTTTTTGAAAACTTGCAACATTGTAGCCCACAGCCTATCGAGAACATGTGACATGTTGTGGGAAAGAGAAAAGAAGAAACAGATAATCATACAGATTCATATTGAATAGTTGGGTGGTGGAATATCCTGTCTGCCCCGAGTGATTGAAATAGTGGTTTTTAACTTATTCAAAAAGCATAGTGGCTTGGTTTTTAAAGAGAATGGCAATATCACTACTGGGTGACTGACAATCACAGCCGTCTTGTCTTATCTACAGGAATTTGGCCATAATTATAAACTTAGGATAATTTTGATTAACTCTACTGATGTTATACTTAGTATAAGTGCACTCTTAGATCACACCATTGGGATAAAGTCCGGTTAGAAAAGTAGTCTTGAACATAGAACCGAAGGTTCTTAAAAAGGCTTTACTAGGTTTGTTAAGTAAGGTCACAATTTGAAGAGAGTCAGTTTAGACCTCTTACTCAGATTGGCACTTTCGTTCCGGTCTAAACGTTTTGCGAGGGAATCACTACGGTGTCTGTGAAAAGACCTCTTCTTCTCCTATTTGTTGCCTTCATGAAACGATAAGGCAGGGTCAATGGACTTTTTCTCTTTTGGAAGAATTAAAAGACTGGATTAACTGGTGGGGTGATACATCTATGTAATTCAGATTGCGATCTGAAAGCAACCTTGCTTCATGAATAACGAGAAACGGATTGGAAGATTTAGAATTTATCTTTGATCACTCATTGTTTACTTGTCTAGTTCTTGATTTCCTTTACTGTCTTGCTCGACCAATATAGGTGGACAGCTCGCCTCTTCAAAAGGATAAATTGAATTATGTCCAAGAAATCACTGGTGCGGCGCTTCTGTACCCGAGTAAATATTTTGATGCCCAACAGCCTGGTGTGTTCCAGACACAAAGCCCGGTATCTGTCCTCGAGACCAGCATTTCCTACTCAGGTGGAAAGACCGTGCCGATCAAATCTGACATCACCATTCCAGTACGAACACGGTCCAAGCGGGCACGACCAGCTGTCAATCCCTGGATTCTCATCCCGCCTCTATCTTCTACTGCTGCATCTAAAAAGACTTCAAGCGGGGCCGGGAAAAAGACAAGAGGGGAGAGGAAGATGGCAGTGAACGATGATGGATCAGAGGTCTGCAACAACGGGGTTACTCCAGATCAGGCGTGCTCCTACCTAGTTAAAAAATGCACACATTGTGAAGTTACAAAGACGCCACAATGGAGAGAGGGACCAATGGGGCCAAAGACTCTATGCAACGCGTGCGGGGTTAGGTACCGCTCGGGACGCCTATTCCCAGAGTACCGACCAGCAGCTAGTCCAACGTTTGTTCCAATGCTACACTCCAATTCTCACAGGAAGGTCGTGGAAATGAGAAGGAAAGCTATTCAGGAAGCAGCGCCCATTGTCGAGGATTCTCTCAAGAGAGCTGCAGAGACGAGATGTTCTGCTTTGCAGGATCTCGATTCTTTTAGCCGTGGGTTCGCTCTAACACACTGAGAGCCTACCAAGCACACTTCCTTCTAGTTAGGGACTTAAAATCAGGGTTTTTTCGTTCGCTTTCAAATATTTTATTATCGTGTTCTTAAGGCAGATCTCGTGCTAATTGATCAACAAGTTGTGTACAAAACGAAATGAAGTAAAAGATGAACAGAGCAAGGGAAGAAGAAGAAGAAGAAGACGAATGGTAGAAGAATTCTTCTGGTGTATAATCCAGAAAATATAATTTTATAAACCTTATTATTCTCTTATTCATATTTCTTTTCCCAAGTTATTAGCTTCTATGGGGTTAATATTTTAATTGTTATGGTGATTTAGTTTCCCTTGTAGCTACAATACACTACTAATAGTAATTTCTTTTATTTATATATTATAGGAAAAATTGTAATTTATGTCCCTCTATAATATGCTAATTATTCATGTCACTCTTAAATTATTAGTGGTGTAAATGTTGTCTTTCATTTTCAAAATGGTACATATATTGCCTTACTGTATTGTACGGGAGGAAAATTGAGGGGCAACATTTACACTGCGGGAGGAGCAATATATGTACCGTTTTAAAATTTTAAAGTCAACATTACATCATTAATAATTTAAGAGTGACATTAATAACTAACATATTATAGAGATGTATAAATTACAATTTCCCTATATTATATATAGGGGTTGAATCATGTAAAAAGAAAAAAACATGATTTCCGTGAAAATCTATAAACGTAGTATCACTATTGAGGGACAATATTTAAATTACGGGAGATCTAATATATGCACCATTTTAAAAATTGAGAGACAATATTTAAACTAATAATTTAAAAATGATATTGATAATTGACATATTATGGGGTGACATAAATTATAATTTCTTATATATTATATTTTAGGGATTGAATCATGTAAAAAAAGAAAACATGACTTCTGCGAAAATCTATAGACGTAATATCACTATTGAGTATTGTCCGTCACACAACATCTATGATCTGTGGTCGTAGATTCAAAAGAAAATGAAATAATGTTGGCATAAATAATGGTAATTAAATAAGTAGATCCATGATTATTGAGGATTACGTCAAATCTATGGCGGTAGATAAATTCAAAATGAAAAGAAAATAACAGTGGCATAATGGTAAATAAGTAAATTCAATGATTAAGGGTTACGTCACGACAAATATATGGCGGTAGATTCAAAAGGAAAAGAAAATAATGGTGGCATAAAGATGAATAAGTAAATCTAATGATTAATGGACAACATAATAGAATTTATACTTGAAAGTCTCCCATTGACAAACTGACATGAATTTTTTAAAAGTAAAATTATTATAAAAATCAACTTGGCTTGAAAGCTTGCAAAGTTTGTCAGATTTTTATTTTTTAAATTATTATTATATTATTTTGTTATTATATAATATATATTGTAATGTGAAAGTGAGACCGTTTTTAAAAGTCTTTTTTTTGGATGTACCGTTTTTAAAAGTCTAAAATGGCCTTTGCAACATATAAAATAAAATAAAATAAAAAACTCTCAAAAGACCGCAAATCAAGATTAAAACTCAACAAATCACAGCTCATAATTCAAATAAATTAAAAGTTCAGAGTAGACCACACGTTCTCACTTAAAGGTCAATCGTTATAAAGTATACCAGGGCGCACAATACTCTGTCCTGCCCAACGAAGTTGTTTTGTTAAGTTGCGTGGAGAGTTGACGCGACGGACACCGTTTTATATGTATCATGTTAAGAGTTTATGTATATTATGCTAATAGTTAAGAGTTTATGTGTTTATGTTAAGAGTTTGTGTATTATGATAAGAGTTTATGTGTATTATGTTTAGAATTTATGTATATTATGTATTATGTTAGATTATGCATATTATCCTTTCAAAAAAGATTATGTGTATTATGTTAGGACTTTATGTGTATTTTATTATACAATTATGTACATTCTATTATATAATTATGTACAATTGAAACATGTGATTTTTTTTAAGAGTTAAGAATTTGTGTATTATGTTTAGAGTTTATGTGTATTATGTTAGGGGTTTATGTGTATTCTATTATTCAATTTTTTTTTTTTTGGGTATACCCAAGATTTCCACCGTCGGACACAATGACTAATCCCATCGCTGAATTGTAGGCACCTCTTTTGAGTGGGACAACTGGCCTGGAGATTTGTTCTATTATACAATTATGTAAATTCGAAACATGAGATTTTTTTTTTAGAAGTTAACAGCAGAAACATGAAGCAGAATTTCCAAAAGAATAAAAATAAAACGACGTCGTTTTGGGCCAAGGCGCATAATGCATTATGCGCCCTGGTGCATGATATAATTTGCCCTTAAAGATGGAACGTTATGCTGTGCAACCTTGTGCACCATGCAAGGTGCACACGGTTTCAATTCATAATTTCTATACTATAAATTCATAATTTCTATACTGTAGATTCATAAAATCTATACTGTAGATTTATAATTTCTAAACCGTAGATTCATAATTTAAATATAGTAGATTCATAATTTCTATACTATAGATTCATAATTTAAATACAGTAATTCATAATTTCTACACAGTAGATTCTAATTATGAACATACAGTTTTGTGATTTGTGAATACAGAGTTTAACAATTGGGAATATGAACATCAAAAATTATGAACTTAGAATTCTGTAATTGTGAATATAGAGTTCAATAATTACGAAGATGAAGTTCAAAAATTATGAATATATAGCTTTATAATTATAAACATAGAACAGTGTGCACCATGCATGGTGCACACGGTTTATGGCAAATTATGCTGTGAGCACGTGCCCACCTTGCAAGCTGGGCACGGTTCCATATCAATAATTTCTATACTGTAGATTCATAATTTCTATACTGTAGATCCATAATTTCTATACTGTAGATTCATAAAATTTATACTTTAGATTCCAATTGTTGAACTCTGTTTTCACAAATCAGAGAACTATATGTTCATAATTTGATAACTATACAGTTTAGAAATTATGAATTTACAGTACATATATTATGAATCGGCAGTATAGAAATTATGAATCTACTATATAGAAATTATGAATCTACTGTATTTAAATTATGAATCTACAGTATAAAAATTATGAATCTACAACATAGAAATTATGAATCTACACTATAAAAATTATGAATCTACAGAATAGAAATTATGAATCTACACTATAAAAATTATGGATATGAAATCGTGCACACCTTACACGTGCTGACAAATTATGCCCTGGAAACGTGTTCACCATGAATGGTGAACACGGATCCAAATGCTGCCGTTTTTACGGAAAAAAAAATCCGCTAATGTGGTGTTAACGGCGCGCGTTTGGTCAGATTATGAATTTTCTGTTATGAGATTATGAATGTACTGTAAATTCATAATCTCATAACAGAAAATTCATAATCGCATAAAAGAATATTTATTAAATTATGAATTTTCTGTTATGAGATTATGAATTTACTGTAATTCATAATCTCATAACAGAAAATTCATAATCTCATAATAGAAAATTCATAATCTCATAATAGAAAATTCATAATCTCATAATAGAAAATTTATAATTTCATAACTACACATTCATAAACCAATGTAATTATGAATGTGCAGGCATGGATTTATAAATGTGCAGTTATGAAATTATGAATTTTCTTTTTATGAGATTATGTTGAATAAGCTTGCGCAAAGAGGAAGTGAAACCGCAAAATGTGAAAATGAAGAAGAAAAGTCGTGCGATTAATTAAGGAAAAAAAAAATTAACGGTGCACTGTTACCGTTTGAACCGTGTTCACTATGAATGGTAAACACGGTTTCATGGCATAACGATCCACACGTGCTCCCAGCATAATCTATATATATATAAAGGAAGCCGCAGTTCAGCCAATCAGATTTCAGCAATTTACAATACACTAGAACGATGTCGTTTCCTCTTTTTTTTTTTTTTTTTTTTTTTTTCAAATTGATAATTCAAATTTTGCTCCTCCCGCCTGATCTAATTGTAATGAGAGACGTGTGATTTTAGTCCTAGGTTTTAGGATATTGGATATTATCTACTACCTACTACAGAGTTAGTAGTCTAATTTATTTAGGTAGCGTGTAGAAAAACCTAAATAGGTATGGGAGTGTTTAAAAGTACAATTATTGAAATATTTTATACACTTCTCAGCTTACTTCTACGCTTATAAATACACTCACATTCTAAGCTTGGATATGCAAACACAAAGCTCTGCAAAATAGATTACAAGTAGGAATATCAGAATTTGAAGATTAAGGTACTGATGTGAGTTTTCTGGAGTGCAGTGTGGTAATGTCTGGGCAATTTATTGTTGGAATGCAGCTTCATCCTCAGCAGAGCACCAAGGCTATAAGATTGCGTTGTGTGCGATCTTATCTTGTGACTGAAATCAAAGATGAACAATTAATAAGAAGTCAGGAATGCCTATTTCATGACCAAGAGGTTTGTAAATTATAGCTTAGCATGCTTTGTAATGTTATTTCTTACCCATTTTACCTGACTGATATCTCACCTTGATATTTTTGGGTGTGTTTTAAATATAGGGTGTCTTCATCCATGTCCACATACCTAAGGATATTGTTCCAAAGTATAAGAACATATTCAAGGAGGGTAAAGTGTATGCCATTAGAAGCTTTCTATGCATCACTAATTTCTTCAAATATAAAACAAGCAGTCACCGTTACCTGATCAAATTCAAACATGATACTCTGGTGAAGGAGTACAAGCGTGTTAATTTCCCAAAAACAATGTTTCGCTTCAAAAGTTTTGAAGCCATACTTTCAAAACAAGGAATTGATGAGAAAGTGTTGATAGGTTAGTGTTAAAACTATTTGTTTCTAAATGCAGTCACTTTCAAAAAAAAAAAAAAATGCAGTCAGTTTACAACAAGAAAAGAGATGTTAATCTTTATTTAACTAATATACTAATATGATGCTGTTTTGAAATACAGATGTGATTGGTCGTATTGTGGAGATATATTCACCACTGGAGAAGACAATAGCTGGGAAAAAGAGTAGGCTTATTGACTTTGTGCTTGAAGACTCTTGGTATGATTCTTTACTCTATTTCTAATCCCTAAGTTTGACTAATGTTGATTTTATAATTTTATCTTAACCATTTTCTGCTGTTTTTAAAATCTTTTGTAGTAAGAAGCAAATTAAGTGTACACTGTGGGACGAACATGTAGATCAAGTAACTCCTTACTTCCACTCAGCTGCTAATGATCCAGTCATTGTTTTGATTCAGTTGTGCCGACCTAAATTCATGGACAATGAGTGCTATGTATTTATTTTGTTAATTTACATCTATATTTCTACTCAGTTTTATCAATGTTTGTATTGACTAAAATCATTTTTGCAGATGGTGAAGTACGTATTTGCAGCTCCTTTGGTGCTACTCAGCTTTTTTTCTCACACTCTTGCAAAGAGTTTCGTGAGTTAAGGAGCAGGTCAGATTCTTTAACCTCTTTTTACTGTTATTCTAAAGAAATATAAATTTTCTGTACTAACATACATTTTCCTGATTTCTGTTAGTAGCTATAACAGTTATCATACACCTTTACTGTGTATAGATTCTGAGTCAAGGCTATCTGATACTTATCTTGGGCGTGCTGTGCGTGCTAATGATGTGTTGATTACTTCTATTCAAGATATGTACTCCAAAAATACAAGTAATGTATTCTGCAATGTCATTAGCTAAGTTACTTATTTACTAAGGTTCAAGACCATTTACATTAGTTCACCTTTACCTTTTTTCGTTAAGTTACTTATTTACCTAATTATTACTTGCAGCTAGGGGAGTATTGGGTGGCAGGACGAATTGTGGACGTAGAGAGTTTAAGTGACTGGTATTACATCTCTTGCAAGAGTAATTCTTGCAGGAGAAAGGTTGTTGTTAATGGTGGTATGATGTACTGTGGTGGCTGTAAAAGTTCCTGGCATGAGGGAGTTGTGAGATATAGGGTGATTATACGTGTGGCTGATCAAACTGGGGATGCTCCTATGCTTCTATGGGATCGTGAGTGTGCAGAGTTGGTAGGTGTTTCAGCTGGTGATTTAAAAGCTAAGTATCCAGAGGTAGGTATCAACACTTAGACAACATAGATGGGTATTGAGGATAGTAGTTTAAATATTCATGTGTTTTTCCTTTAAATCTTTGTAGGGGAATAAGTGTATTCCACCTGAGCTAGGTTGTTTGCGGGACATGTCTATGTTGTTACGTGTTGCTATGAAGAAGGAGCAGATAGAGAGTTACTATTTTGCTTTCACCGTCCTAAGGATTTGCAGGGATGAAACAGTGCTTACCCAACACTGCTCAGGTCTTTCAGTTGCCAGTTTAGAACCAGAAAATGGTTCTGTTCATGAAAGTGGTTTTCAGGATGGGGATGCAGATGGTGATGTAGGTTCAGAGGTATTTCTGTAAATTATGTTTTGGTTAATTTTTAAAAAATGGTTTTATTTATTGTCCCTAATCATATTTCGTTTAGGAATTTTATGGTAGTGATGATGAAGACTGTGTTGTGGTGGAGGATGGGTCTCAAGGTTTATCTATGGACAAATTTGCTGGCTTGGATGAGATTGAAGATGGTTTAGGTGTTGGTGCTGATGATGTTCCTCTCAAGAGGTCTTTGTTTAAAGACTTTGAGAATGTTGGTACATCGAAGAAGGCTAAGGAAGTGGTGGTGAAGAAAGAAAAGTAGTCAGTTCTACTGGACAAGTTTTTGCTGGTTTTGGTTTTTGGTTTTTGTTGGTTAGGGCTAAAAATGTGCATAGGCTGCAATTTACTGCTACCAAGTAGATCCATTCTACTTTCCTGATTTGCTCTTAGTTTTGTGAAAGCTGCATTAGCAGCATAGCCTAATGTACTTAGCTTTAGCAGTAGCAGTTAATGTTTCTTAAGTGTGTACTAAGCCTTCTAATGTGTAATATGCTACTTATGATTATAAAGTCATATTTGCAATTAATCTATTAATCTAGACAGAGCAAAACATTCTCATACATATTGGAGGTATACATAAAAGTTTACAAGTAGACAGTTTGGCACAGTACAAACCAGATTGATAAGAGCTGGAAAAAAAGGGAACTTAAACTCTATGTAATGTAATTACTATATATTCTAATGTGAAGAAAGTTAGAAAGGAATGTCATAGGTTTCTACATTAAAAAAAAATGGCATCAGATTCCTGTATCATCACTTGCCACTATTTTTAAGTGTTAGTATTTGGTCAAATATAGGAATACATGAATTATCAACTTATGATGCCCAGGTAAAATTTCCAGTTAACTTACACAGAACAAAACATTCACATACATATTGAATCTATATATAAAAGTTTACAAGTACACAGTTTTGGCCACCTCAAAAAAAGTTAAAAAAACATGTAACATTTTAAAGACCAGATTGATATATATATATATATATATATATATATATATATATATATATATATATATATATACTAAAAGCAATTAAGGGAAATATTACCATTTGAGCAGAGTGTTGGCTGTGTGTGTTTGAATGTTCTGTGAGTATCCACAATTTGGAAGTCCAGTGTTATGGATTATTGACCAATCAAATGGCTACATCACTGTAAACAAATAATACAAAGCCCATATTAGTCATACCAGTGAAAGTTAAGTAATTAAAGAAACCATAAACCAAATTCCTCTTGGCTATGAATTCTTGGAATTTTTTAAAAATGTGTTCAGATATATTTATTTATGAAGTGCTGCTTCATAGCATGTTTATTAAAAACAAAGTTTATTTCAATGTACATGAAAAAAAAAAAGCAAAAAGTATTAAGAACATGGGCATAATTACTATTTTTTCGAATCAAACAATTTTCCAGAAATTTTTAATTTCTTCATGTTTAAAAATTATGCATGTATACTAAATGGCTGAAATTTGAAGCTAGGTTTTCGCAGATATTAAATAAAGTATGAAAAAAGTGGAAAGTTGTTAAAAGTGCGTTTTACCATACGGATATTGTAGATCTGTGGTAGATCGGTGCTGCTTCTTGCTTTGTGTGGTATGAATTTCGCCTTTGGTGTTTAGTATAGGAGAAGTCGACGGCTTGTAGATTAGGGTTTTTGATTTTTGTAAATCCGGTCTGAATTTTCAACTGAGTAGTTTAAAGGCTGAAATTTCGTGTTTATGGAAGGTAGTATTGTAGAAGATGAGAGTAGGGGAACACAGATCGCGAAGCTTGGCCTATGTTGTACACCGTAAGTTTACATATGAAACTAGAGTAATAGATGTTAAGTTTTTTGGCCATTTAATCGCTGGGTTATCGTCGGCCATAACGATTTTATGGTGAAGACGGAAAGCTTTGTTGATTATGGTGATGAGGAGTTAGATCTGGAACTGGAGTTTCTAGAATGAGAGTTTGTGGTAGAGAGATGGGAAGAAGCAGACAACGTCGAATGGTCTTCCAGATCTAAGCTATTAGTTTTTTTTTTTTTTTAAATAATAATAATTGGTTGGGCTTTGTATTAATTTTTGGCCTGGACTTCATTTTAATCTGAGAAATGAATTTAGCAATGACCCTTTCTTAGTATATTTAAATGGTGTTAGTGTGCAATTACATTTTGATTTATTTTTAATGTGTACATGACAAAATTATGTTTAGTGTTGTTGTTAATTGAATATATTGTATTTGAAATTTTTTTATTATATTGAAATATATTTCTTATTTAATATTTGTAATAAATTGATGTGTGTTTTCTTGATTGAATTTGTATATATGATTTTTTGTATTTTATTGAATTCTAAAATCAAAATTTTTAAAGCTTTCCATCTAAAATTATTTATATTAATGTAATCATATATATATATATATATATATACATATATATATATATATATATATATATATATATATATATATCAGGACTATGTGGTCTAATGGTACCCGGCTTGGACTTCCAATTGGAAGATTATGAGTTCGAGCCTTTAGTGGAAGTGTTATTGGTTCTTTGTGTTTCAATAGGTTGAGAAAGTATATGAACACATATTACAATGTAATAGAGCCAATAGCTTCAAAATATATATATATATATATATATATATATATATATATATATATATATAAATACATATCAATATATTTCTTTATTTATTTTCATACCGTGCAACGCACGGGTGGAGTACCAGTGTTCCCTTAAAGATGGAGCTGTTATTGGGCCATCACTTGCATGGGCCGTGTTCCAGCAACAATACAAGAAGAGCAATCGTTATATCCTACACCACAGCGCACATAGCACTGTGCGCCGCGCGCCTCCCAAAACGACGTCGTTTTGGGGTAGTGTTAGGAGGCGCGGTAGGAAGTTGCTGAGATTATGTGTATTTGTTCACAACGTTATGTGTATTGGTTCATACAGTTATGTGTATTTTTTATACAATTATGTACATTCTTTTTATACAATTATGTACATCCGAATCAGAAAATTTGTGTGTATTATGTTAAGAGTTGATGTATATTATGTTAAAAGTTTATGTTTATTATGTATTATGTTAGATTATGTGTATTATCTTTTAAAAAGAGTATGTATATTTTGTTATATAATTATGTACATTCATGTATAACATTATGTGTATTCTAGTATAACATTATGTACATTCTTGAACAGCGGGTTTTTTTTTTTAAAGAAAAAACTACTGCCATTCACTGGGGCGGGAAATTTAAAAAAAAAAAAATTAAAACGACGTCGTTTTGCATCTCGGCGCATAGTGCAACGCGCGCCGTGGTGTAGGATATAAATTGCCCAAGAAGAGATAACTGTAACATTCTTTGATTATTAAAAAAAAAAACATAACATTCTATAATTTTCTATAATTTCACTAGCTTACGGAGTAAAAAGAACAAAGATAGAAATATGATAGAAATACACCATTACTATATACACATAGAAAAGGGTATGTTAGTCTCAAAAAAATAAACTATGTTTCCTAATTATAAAAGAAAAAAATTGCATGGGCAAATTTAGATGAACTCAACATAAGCAACTGTTCAGAATGCGTATTATTTGATAACCATTTCAAATGTAATAACATCTCTAAACAAGTATGGTGAACCACGTCTATTAAGTCGTTTAGATCTTCTATGGCTCTATTTAGCCGAACTTATTTAGGAGCTTATAGCTTATTTTAAGCTATTAATAAGCTATAAGCGCTGTTTAGGCTCTGTTTGACAGAGCTTATTTAGGAGCTTATAGCTTATTTTAAGCTCCTAATAAGCTATAAGCTCTGTTTGGTAATGTTCCCAAAATAAGCTCGTAGCTTAAAATAAGAGCTTATTTTGAAATGCTACTTTAGGTAGCGTTTCAAAATAAGCTCATAGCTTCCTAACTTTTTTTCCATCTTTATCCTTATTATTTTAAAGAAATGACATAATTTACCCTTCCCAATTAAAACTTTTTTCTCTTCTCCTTTATCCGCAACTTTCACCGCAATTATTATTATTATTATTATTATTATTATTATTATTATTATTATTATTAGGGAAAATTGTAATTTATGCCCCTCACAAATATGTCAATTATCAATGTCATCTTTGAATTATAACTAGTGTAAATGTTGCCCATCAATTTTCAAAACATGACATATATTGCCCCTCACCTAATATGAAGAAGGAGAAAATTTGTTGTCGACGGAAGGAGAACAATCGAAGAAAGAAAAATTGAGGAAAAAAACGTGGTCTTCGAACAAGAAAGACGACGGGTAACCACATTTACATCACTAATAATTCAGGGGAGGGGCAATATATGTCACGTTTTGAAAATTGAGGGGCAACATTTACACCACTAATAATTCAGGGGTAACATTGATAATTGACATATTTGTGAGGGACATAAATTACAATTTTTTCTTCTTCTTCTTATTATTATTATTATTATTATTATTATTATTATTATTATTATTATTATTATTATTATTATTATTATTATTATTATTATTATTATTATTATCATTATCATTATTATTATTATTATGAGATTTGCAACAATATTGCTACTTCATTATGAGATGCTAGATCATGATTATGCTAATAGTTTTATTTCAAAATGTTAATTTTTTTAAAAGACAAAATGTTAAATTTTAATATGTAAACAAACCCAATTTAAATTTTATGAAGATGTCCTTTTTAGTCTTTTTATATTTATCAGCTTATCAAAAAGCTATTTTTACCAAACACTTTCAATCATAACAGCTAGCTTAACAGCTCTTCAGTGTTCAGCTCCGAGCTTATAGCTTTTCAGCTTTTAGCTCGTTTTCAGCTTTCAGCTCCTAGCTTATAGCTTTTCAGCTAGGTTTGCCAAACAGAGCCTTAGTAATGTTTCCAAAATAAGCTCCTAGCTTAAAATAAGAGCTTATTTTGGAACGCTACCGTAGGTAGCGTTTCAAAATAAGCTCCTAGCTTCCTACCTTTTTTTTTTTTTAATCTTTATCCTTATTATTTTAAAGAAATGACATAATTTACCCTTCCCAATTAAAATCATTTTCTCTTCTACTTTATCCGCAACTTTCACCGCAATTATTATTATTATTATTATTATTATTATTATTATTATTATTATTATTATTATATTATTATTATTATTATTATTATTATTATTATTATTATTATTATTATTATTATTATTATTATTATTATTATTATTATTATTATTATTATTATTATTATTATTATTATTATTATTATTATTATTATTATTATTATTATTATTATTATTATTACTACTACTATTACTACTATTACTACTACTATTATTATTATTATTATTATTATTATTATTATTATTATTATCATCATTATCATCATTATTATTATTATTGATGGGGATATTGGGTGTGGGCCATGGACGTAGGGGGCTTATGGAATTGGGCCGACAAGGGGTGGGGGGGGGGGGGGACAAAATTGGGCCGGAAGGCCAGGAGGAGCCGCCGGCGCCACCCGGCGCCGGCGGCCAAACCCGGCCGCCGACCGGGGCGCTGGCCCCGGTCGGCCGTGGCGTGCCCAGCGCGCGCTGGGCGCGGGCCAGCGTGGCCTCAGCGCCCGGCGCGCGGGGGGCCACGGCCGGCCCCAGGCGGGGGCCGGCGCCGGCGCCGGTAGCCCAGTGACGACACCGACCGGGTCGTTGGCCCCGGTCGGGCGTGGCGCGACCAGCGCGCCCTGGGCGCGGGCCAGCGTGGCCTCGGCGCCCAGCGCTTGCTGGGGGGCCACAGGCGGCCCGGGCGGGGGCTGGCGCCGGCGGCCAGGCGGTGGCGCTGGCCCCGGTCGGCCACGACGCGACCAGCGCGCCTGGGGCGCGGGCCAGCGTGGCCGTGGCGCAACCGACGCATTGGGCGCGCGGCCCCGGCATCCCGCGGCGTTGGTCTCGGTCGTTCTCCACAGGCGGGGGTGGGTGCGCCGAGCATGGTGAGTTGGGGGTGGTGTGAGTGAGGTGGCAAAGGCAATAGGAGTCGGGAAAGGCGGAGAACGTGGTGTAAATGGCGAGGGACAAGCGGAGTGGGGAAGTGGGGTTGGATCGCATGGGACACGTGGACGCTAATGGAGGAGGGGGGTTTGCTATAAATAGGAG